TACTGCCCATTAAGTATTGAAATGTTCTGGGAGTAATGTCTGATTAAGCTTCGCCAATATTTACGATAATTTGTGAAAGCGTAAATGAATAAACAAATCGTAATTAAGCCTCAACTGGAAGAAACATGGGTGAATTCAATGGACGTGCTGTCATTATAACTGGTAAGAAGGCTTCATTTTGCTAATCATACATACCTAACTCCCGACAAAGGCAGAATAATGTAAAGTCCTAATAAATTTGTATCCGGGGGTGGTGTTGTCGGTAAAGCAACCAGTAAGGGAGCTCCTGTAGTGAAAATGAGCTGAATAGAGAAGCTCTTTTGAGGTTCATCAAATGGAATCGGTCGTGCTGCCGCTGTAAGGTTCGCTAAGGAAGGTGCAATGGTGACGATCTGTGGACGAGATGAGAAAACGCTGAACGTTGGTTTCGTCTAAAAAATAGAAATTTGAAGCAAGTTAGAAAAGTTGAAGGAGAATTCTACAAGACTCTTGGGTTTTTGTTGGAAATTCTCAAAATTCAGAAAGCCGAAACTTATATGGTTAAAATGTGTATATGATCTCATGAGCAGTGTTTTTGAATGAGCTATTGGAAATGACAAAATTTGGGTTGCCCTAGACTAGCCCTATTCACCTGTTGAATGGTCCTGGGAGAACAAAAAGGCCAGCATGCGAGGGAATCCATTGCAGGATTTCTCTCAGGCCTTTACTCTGATCAGACCACCCACCACGTTGAAGCATCATGACGATCTTAGGAATAAAATAGTAATAGTTCAATGAGCTAATGTTCCCGTTGCTTGATAATGCAATTTTGAGGAAACCAAGGCGATGGTTCTGAAGGTGAACGGCGGCGACGAGAAGAAGGTGTTCGTCGTTCGCGGGGACCTTTGCAAGGAAGAGGTTATGAAGGAGACTGTTGACGGAACTGTTCGAAAATTCGGTCGACTGGATGTTCTGGTGAATTTAGCTTGGAAAAACATAGTGGCATGGGTATGAAGCAGATAGCTCTGTTGATACACGCCGTGCACACGTCTAACACACGGAATCTCATTTGATAGGTTACAATATCATAACCTTTCCTCTCAGCCCAAATTTCAAGGTCTTCACAGTTTTGCTACTCAAGTAGGTATAATATTTGTCTAGACATGAAGAGAGGGGAATTTTGCCTCTTCGACTAATATCTGACCGATTCAATAAATCTGCCCCGAAGAACCTTTTCATTCGAAATTCTTGAAAACCTTGTTCAGGTGAACAACGCAGGAGGAACCGGAGGCTCACGTTGGGGGGAACCAGAACTGGAAGGCAACATCAGCGAATTTGAGTATGTCCTGAATTTGAACACTAGGAGGTATGTCATACTGCTCAGTTTTCATACGCAGTTAAAGTGGATACTGTATGCTTCATGAACACAATGAGATATACTGGACTATCAGATCATAATAATGGTCATGCAATCAAACCCTCCTGACAGCCCAAGATGAGCCATACATGCATCTCTCGCCAAGACCTTCCTTTATTTTTGGAAGGGGAGAAGAAATCACTTGAACCATAGTGTTCTAACCTCCCCACATGAGTTCGTTGGCCACTGAACCCTTCTTGATGAGATGTATTATGGAATCCTGAGTAGCACCACCAGAGTTATTCTATTAATGCCTAATAAATATCCATGCAGGTTTCCTGACGAAGACTGAACGCTACAATAGTTTTGGGTAAGGTTGAGTAATAATGATTGAGAGACAAATTCAGTGTCCTTCGTCTCTGTCAGTTGGCTCTTCCTCATTTGGTGAAGACCCAAGGTGAAATCGTAAACATAAGCAGTGTCACCGGTTTGAACAATGGAACGGTACGTGATATTCCTCTTCAATAACTCTGATTTCTTCACTTTTCTGGTAAACTACCGATCCTCCATGATGAGCTGTTTTTAGTCGGCACCGTTTCCATTCTACAGTGTGTCGAAGGCGGCACAAGACCAACTCACAAGGAATCTTGCGATTCATTACATTAAGAAAGGAGTTCGAGTGAACAGTGTAAAGTAGGTCTTAAAATAAAACTTCTAATGGATGCTCTGTTCCACAGCACTTCATTTTAGTCCTGGAATAATATCGACACACATCGTGCAAAGGCAGGGACTTTCTGATGAAGCTGTGAAACAGGTCAGCCCCACATTTAGGAATTGACACCTGAAGAAAATACTAGAATCTACCCAAATAAGTATTCCTGAGAGGGTTCCCAGTCAAAGGCAATGAACACGTAGTGGGCTCCTTTAAAGTTATTTAGTTGAGCAATCGCATGATTTTGATGTTTAACATTGTGTTAATATTGAAAATGCTTTACAGGGAGAAGAACAGATCGGTGCTTCCCATTCTTGCGTCCCATACGGTCGTGCTGGAACACCCGATGAGGTAGCAGAGGCGATACTGTTTCTTGCTGATCGGTAGGTTGAAGCCTCAGTGGTTTCATGACATAAAACCACCCTTACCGGGTCCGAAAAAAACCGGATAACTCACTTCCTATCCACCTCCTTCCCCTTTTCCGAAAGTTGGTCTCGTGGCGTATGCCCCAGATCATCCCCTCAAGTTGGCTTCAGTATCTTCTTGAAGGGGTCATAATGCACAGATAAAATAATAAACTAATAATAAAAAATTTATAAAAAACTATAAATAATTGAAATTAGTTAATAAATAAACGGGTAAATAAAATTAATTGATAAACATAAATATATAAGTAGATCTAAATAAAACACCTTTTATAAATGAAAGCATTATCACTTCCAGGTAAAACGGCCTCAGTAATCCTTTTATATGCTTTGGGAATTGCCCATGGAATCATTTTCTGTGTTAGGCTTATGTTTATGGATTGGAGTTGAGGGTTTAACTGGCAATCAATCCCTATTTTTATGTTTTTTGTGAGTTGAGTTTTCAGCGATTCTGCTGCATAATATTTGAAACAAGCATATTTCCAGCAAACGATCCAGTTTCATTCTTGGTCATCAGCTGGT